CAGGGTTCCTAAGGTTCCTAAAGGTTCCCAAGGTTCCCAAGGTTCCCAAGGTTCCCAAGGTTCAAGGTTTCCAAGGTTCCCATGGTTCCCAAGGTTCCCAAGGTTCCCTCAAGGTTCCCAAGGGTCAGGTTCCGTCATTCCAAGGTTCCAAAGTAAGCGTTCTCAAGGTTCCTAAGGTTGCATTGTAAAGGTTACCTCAAGGCTGCCTGAAGGTTCCCAAGGTTTCCAAGTAAAGGTTGTCAAGGCTCCCAAGGTTGCATTGTAAAGGTTCTCAAGGTTCCCAAAGTTACATTAATGTAAAGGTTCCCTCAAGGTTCCCAAGGTTAGATTGTAAAGGTTCCCTCAAGGTTTCCTCAAAGTGCCCAAGGTTTCCAAGTAAAGGTTCTCAAGGTTCCCAAGGTGACATTGTAAAGGTTTCTATAATTCCCCAACAGCGTAAGCTTGGGGCCTTTAGCCATAGTAAAGGTCTTGGAGCAGGTCGGGGCAGCGAAATCCGCACTACGCAAGGTTCACAAGCAAGGTTCCCAGGAAGAGGTTCCCAAGCAAGGTTCCCAGCCACAGGTTCCCAGGAACAGGTGCCCATACAAGGTTCCCAAGAACAGGTTCACAAGTAAGGTCCCAAGCACGTTCCCAAGCAAGGTTCCCAGCAACAGGTTCCCAAGCAAGGTTCCCAGCAACAGGTTCCCAGGAACAGGTTCCCAAACAAGTTTCCCAAGAACAGGTTCACAAGTAAGGTTCCCGGAAAAAGTTCCCAGGCAAGGTTTCCAGGAAAAGGTTCCCAAGCAAGGTTCCCAGGAACAGCTTCTCAAGCAAGGTTGCTAGGAAGAGGTTCTCAAGCAAGGTTGCCAGGAAGAGGTTCGCAAGCAAGGGTTCCGAGGAAGAGGTTCCCAAGCAAGTTCCCAGGAAGAGGCTCCCAAGCAGGTATCCAGGAAGAGGTTCCGAAGGAAGGTTAAGTTCTTAGGAATCGCTTGCAAGCGCGGTTCCCGAAAACGGTTCCCAAGCAAGGTCCCAGGAACCGTTTCCAAGCAAGGTTCCAAGCAGGAACAAGGCTCGCACGAACAGGTTCTCAAGCAAGCGTTCCCAGGAAGAGCTGGTTCCCAAGCAATATTTCCAGGAACAAGTTTTCAAGCAAGGTTCGCAAGAACAGGTTCACAAGCAAGGGTTCCAAGAACAGTGCCTCAAGTTCCGAAGCAAGGGTTCCAAGAACAGGTTTCCTTGCAGGGTAGCAAGGTTGGACTAAGCAAGGTCCTTGGGAACAGGTTCCCAAGCAAGGTTTCCACGAACAGGTCCCCAAGCAAGCAAGGTTCCCAAGGACAGGTTTACAAGCAAGCTTTGCAAGAACAGGTTCGGGTTCCAAGAACAAATTCTCTAGGAAGGTTCTGAGCAATAGGTTGCCAGCATGGTTCCCACGAACTCGTTCCCAAGCATGGTTTCAAAGAAAGGTTCCTCAGCAAGGCTTTCAATCACAGTTTCGCCAGCAAGGTTTCGAATAATAGGTTGACGGGCAAGGTTGTCAAGAAAGGTTCCAAAGCAATGTTGCAAGAAAGGTTCAACGAACAGGTTCCAAAGCAAGGTTCGCAAGAACAGGTTGCTCATGTTCCCAGGAACAGCTTTCCAAGAACAACTTGGACAGCAAAATTTCATAAAATATCGAAGAACAGCTGCAAGCAAGGTTGGAAGCAAGAACAGAATCCCAAGCAAGGTTCCGAAGGACAGGTTCCTAAACAAGGTTCCCAAGCAAAGTTCGAAAAACAGGTTCCCGAGCAAGGTCCCAATGAACAGGTTTGAAGCAAGCAGGCAAAGTTTCCAAGAACAGGTTCCCAAGAGAAAGTTCCCAAGAACAGGTTATCAGGCAATGCTCCCAAGAGCAGGTTCCTAAGAATAGGCTCCCAAGAACAGGTTCCCAAGCAAGGCTCCCAAGAACAGGTTCCCAAGCAAGGTTCAGATAAACAAGTGTCAAGCAACGTATCCAAGAACAGTTGCCCAGGCAAGGTTCCAAGAACATTGAACAACAGAATGCTGCAAAGGTTGAAGAATTGTTCTAATAACGGAACGGAGAAATTGAAGAATTTGTTTTGCTTCAACAAATGATACGGCACCCGCACATGGATAAAAACACTAGACGACAGCGTGGCCTGAAAGAAAGCAGGAGGGAGGAGACAAGAAAAATGATGATGATGGTGATGATGATGACGAGGATGAATGGCGATGGAGATGATGATGAATGATAGCTGTTACACAGAAGCTTTTGCACAGAGAAGCCTTTACACAGACGCTTTCCCACAGAAAAACCGATTCCACAGAGCAGCTTTTACACGCTTCAAAAAATCGCAATTTAACTTAAGTTTTTGACGTTCGGCCATCATATCGTGCGAAAGGGTTGCATCCGGCGTTGGAAAATCGCAAATTTTGACCTTGGACAATCATTTTGCGTGAAAGGCTTTCGCCTGACCTTGTAAAATCATGTAAAATCGCAATTTTACACAAGTTTTATTTCGCGCGAAACAGTTGTGCCTGACGTTTCAAAATGGATAAAGTCGCAATTTTACACCAATTCTTGAACGTTTGCATCTGGCATTAAAAACAGTTATTGCCATTTGACTTTCGTGCCACGCTTGCATCTGGACTTTCAATCACAATATTACACCAGTTTTTGACGGTTGACCCTCGTTTCGTGCGAAGGGGCTGCGCCGGGCCTCACCAAACTTGCATTTTGCCACATGTTTGGATGTCCGACCTGCGCGATCTCTGTAGAGGGTTGCCCGTGCCCAAAAGAAATTCACATTCCACCACATGTTTGGGCGTCTGAGACGCACGATCTCCGCAGACGGTTGCTGCGGGCGAAGCCTTTCCCCACACCACATGTTTGCCCATCCGACACGCGCAATCTCCACAGAGGGTTGCCCAAGGACAAGCAAGACCTGCATTTTGCCACACGTTTGGGTGTCCGACACGCCGCAAAGGGTAACGGTTCGTAAGCCACCGCCTGGCTGTCCCTGCCGCCAGAGAGAAATAGAAGAACTGGAGAAGTCTGATTTTGCAGGAGTTCAGATACAGTTTGATCACCTGGAAGTTAGCTGAACGCCTGTGTAGCAAATCCTGTGTAACAATTTCTGTGCAAATGACCTTGCAGGAGTCGTGTATCAGTTGAAGTAGAAGTGGATCACCTGCAAGTCAACTCCTGTGTAAATGACATTTTCCAGTTTTGTATGTTTTGTAGGAGTTCCCTAGAAGTTGATCACCTGTAGCTGATGTTTTGTGATGTTGTCTATTTTGTAAATGATGAGGATGATGTTGTAAGTGATGTAAGGTTAGATCGACTAGAAGATGTAGGTGATGTAGAGGATGTAGTGATATAGATGATGATGATGATGATGATGATGTAGGTCATGTATGTGTTGTAGATGATGTATGTCATGTAGATGACGTTAGTGGGAAAAGTTGGTGTAGGTGATGTCGATGGTGTAGGTGAGATAGATGATGCTGCTGATGATGATGATGGTGATGATGATCATGATGATGATGATGATGATGATGATGTAGAGAAGATGTAGAGAAGATGGTGCAGAAGATGTAGGTGATGTGGGTGATGTAGAGGATGTAGTGATATAGATGATGATGTAGGTAATGCATGTGTTGTAGAAAAGGCATGTCATATAGATGAGGTTGATGGACAAATGTGTAGGGGGTGTAGGTAATGTAGGTGAGACAGATGCAGGTGGTGATGATGATGGTGATGATGATGACGACGATGACGATGATGATGATGATGATGATGATGGTGATGATGATGATGATGATGATGTAGATGTAGATGTAGTTGTCGATGTAGAGAAGATGGTGTAGAAGATCGTATAGAAGATGTAGGTGATGTAAAGGACATAAGAGATGTGGATGATGTATGTTAGGTAGATGAAGTGAAGAGTGAGGTGGACAGCAGTTCTTTGAGAAAAAACCTTCTCACAAGCTTCGGGAATATTGGCCCTTCAGCTTCCACAGTATTGCAAACGCTTTTGGAAAAACGGTGTTTCATAAAGTGTTTGTGCCGTGATTGCGCCTTGCACGCCCGACCTCTAGAGCAAGAAGGGCTGGGCAATAAACATACTTCACCCATTGCGTGTTTGGCTACAGCCTATACATTGGGATGTATAAGGTCTATACATTTAGATGTATAAAGTCTATACATTGGGATGTCTAGGGGCTGGACAATGGGTATTGAGCTTATGGACGTATTCAGCATTTGAATACAGAATAAGGGTGTATTCGGATACTGAATACGGGGTATTCAGCATTTGAATACAGAATAAGGGTGTATTCGGATACTGAATACGGGGGGTTGTTATTATCTGTAGGGTGGAGCACCCCTCCTTGCCTAAATTTTAGGCAATCCCTTTGCCTCAAATTTAGGCAACCCACTTGTCTAAAATTTAGGTAGTCCCTTTGCCTAAAATTTAGGCAGTCCCTTTGCCTAAATCTTGGACTGGTAAGATGGAGAAATCCTGTTTATGGCATTGATTTTTCAATTATGTTTATGTATTGGCTTTACCATTGCCGAGGTCTGGCTTCATAGATAAATTATTTCATAATTTATCTTAAAGTCCATCTCATAGGTTTTAGCATTACAACAGGCTTTTGAATGAGGGTAAGTGTATGGTTTGTTGTTAAGGTTTTTGGTATAGTATTCTTTATGGTCTATTGTATTGTTTAGGTTGTTTGAGTTTTTTGTTTTGTTGTTTGTTGTTTTGATTTAGGTTATTGTTTTCTATAAGGTGTTGCTCCCCTGTCTTTGGTATTAACCCCATAGAATTTGCTTGTATAATAATGTGGGCGGTTAGATGAGAAAGACGGGGGAGCAACAGTCTAACTATGTCATGGTATGTCACCCAACAATGTGTGGGTTCAAAAAATTGGAGAGGCATATCAATCATATCATACTCAGATATACTCAGATATATTCAGTACACATGAAGAGTGTCTCAATTTTCGTCGTTGTTCAGGTCCTTGGCAAAGGCAATATGGTCATAGAGTTCTTTGCCCTGATCGCCCGCCTCACAAGTGAAGACCCCCAACAAAAACCATTGGAGTTTCAGCGGATTCAAAGGGAACAGGAAAACGTGGGTTTACCCGCAAATATAGAAGTGTCCGGTAGATTTTCCCATCTTCCAAGTCTGGGAGAGGTACTCAACTTGGACCTACAAGTGTGTATCCAGTTTTTGCAAGCAGGGCTTGCCACTTCCTGGGAGGTGGCGTGTTACCAGAATCTGGTGCCCATGTAAGAGCGGAACCAATCAGGTGGCCCCATAAGTGAAATGCAAGCAGAATACAGGCACTGCCGAACCAAGACAAGAAGGAAATTGAAAACTCAAATCACTAAAGCATGTCCTCTGCGCATTTCAGACCGCCAAAGTAAACCCTGCAGATCAGGATCACACCTGGGACAAGAAAGTGGAGAGTTGTGCCATGTTCTCCGGGCTTAGGGCATTGAGCCCGGCACACCTGGCAGTGCAAGGCTGATCAGTTGGACAAACAAAAAGTGCCAAGGGGGACATCCAGCGATTTCAGTAGTCCCCATAGATCCAACTATGGTGATTGAAGTGAAAGTCGCGTGTATTTCAGTGGATCTTTGCCCGTGTTGGTCAACATCCCATCATTTGTCACTCAAAATGTTAATTCATTCTCATTTTGTTAGATCAAATCTTAGTTCGTTGGTCATTTGTTGGCCAAAATCCGTCATTTAGTTGTCATTTCTCGGGGGGTGACAAAAAAAAAAACCTTGGGACATCCTCCCGGCGCTCGGCTCACCCTGCCAGCAGAATCAATGCCATCACCTGGTGGAGTTGCCCTTGGGCCATTATTACATATATATATATATATCATATATATTTATACTATATATCTATATAGCTATACAGATTGATAGAGTTGTGTTATATACCATCTATGTAAATCAAAGCGTGATAAAAGCTATATATAGATTAATATAGTATGGCTATCCAGATGGTAATGACAGTAGTGAACTTGACAGTCAATACACATACTTAGGTCCCATTATGGAAAACCCTGCTGGAAGGTCATTGCAGCTGCAATGGTTCACGAACTTGTTCACCAATCCGGGAGATCATCAAATGGGAATGAGTCCAAATTGGCTACTCCAATCCTCAGATGGTTGATGATGGTTGATACTAAAAATCGACTAAAATCTGTGGTCCGCAGGGTCTTCATTTTTGACCCATTCCCAGGTCAAGGGTTGTGGAAATCCACAGTGGGCACCTGCAGAGGGTGCAGAGTCTTTTGCTTGGTGCCACCTCAGTGGGATTGGAACGACCTGCGCCTCTTGTGCTTTCTCGCACGCGTCATTTCAACAAGCAGACTCCATCTGGGTTTCTCTGAAACTCAAAGAGTTGATGATGTATCATTCCCAGCTCTGTTTTTACGTGTAAAAAAACAGCTGGTAAATGCTCAAAAAGATGATGATTCATCATTCCCCATTCAAACTGCCATTGTTGGGGTTCGATTTCCCCACCATTCTCCCACTGCCCTGCGTCCCAGTGGCGCATGGTGCACCAATGAGGCGAATGGCTTGCTGCCGTCATTCGGAAGATAGAGCCGAAGAAGAAGGTGGCCGCCTCAGTTGGTGGAAAAGGCTGGGGAAGATCATGGGAAAATTCGGACCACTGGGAGCTTTTCTTGAGGATCTCTGATGGGATTCTGCTGGGAAAACCAACCATTTTTTAGTTAAGGTTTCCGCAAATTGATGGGAAAATCGACAGGAAACCATGGTTTTCACGCTTACAAAACTGTATATCTACAGGAAATCATGGTCTTTACCGTTGAAGATCGCGGGTTTCCTGAAAATTGTTCCACCACTACTTCGGGGACGGTTGGAATCATCTGTGGCACTTGGGGCCAGGTGTGTCTACAAGGGGCTTTCATGGTGCGATCATTGATCTTTTAATATTATATATATATTAGAATGTATATTTATTTATATATGATCTTATGATATCATATATACGCATATGAAAATATAGTATATATTATATATATATTAAACAACAACAACAACAACAACAACAACAACATAAAACCCTAGAGTACAATAATTAAACAATTTCACCAAACAATATTGTACTTTGAGGAAAAATAGAGAGACCAGTTTGGTATATTGTCTTAAGTACCATCTACCTATTGGTTGTTGAATCAGGTAGGAAACCTCAATCCTAATCAGCCGGGAAAATAACATCTATGGATCCAAATTCTGCCAGTTTCGTCTGTGCAAAGAAGAATAAACATCAAATGGTTGAGCCACCACATGCTCTTCAATTGTCATGATAGTGGCATGGAAAAGTAGTACTAGATTATTTTGTTATTAGATAGTACGAGATAGTACGAGTATTTGTTTCCAGTCTGTTTCCAAGCAATCAGCTTCCCAGTTCCCCTTGTGCTGAGAATCAACTGTAAGCTTTGTTTCATCTCTAGTACCCGCATCATGTGAATTTAGAATGAAGCACATGGAGCATTGATACAAAGACTAGCACATCCACAATATCCGTCTTCCCCTAAAACACAATGATCTCACATAAACTAATCCTTATAGTAAATTGATTTCGGAAAGAAAATAGTTCACATCCAGAAATGAACAGAACTGCCTTGGTTGGCATGGTCACCATCATAGACCCACTTTTGGGATTTTTTGGGATTGCAGTATTTGACATTGATGCATACCCACATGATCAATCCCCCTTATTGCGTATCACGTCATATCACGTCGCTTCAGCCCTGGATTGGATCTGAGCTTTCCGCCGTTGAGGACAATGCAACGACCTCAGGCAGCTACTTGGGATATCCGGGACCCTCCATCAGACTCCCACCAGAAGAGCCAGTGAAATGGGAGGCTTAAGATATGTATGTATAGATATGTGATATGTGTATAAGATTGTATAAGATATTCATAAGATATTGATACTATTAGGAGAGTTCTCGATTCTTGGGATAACCACCATTTCCTCATACTTCGTATGGCCCACAAAAGCTCAACCTTTGACCTGATTTGTTTTCTCTGGCAACAATATACTGTGCGACTAGCTTGCAACATCGCTTGACGGTATTCTAGGAAGCAAGTATCTTCAAGTGGTACACTCTGCGTCTGTGGTAGCACCTTGCCGCATGTCACTTGGAATCTGATCAGTGAAAATACTGTGCATGTCAATGTCAGCTCCTGAAATGTGACCCGGCAGATCAGGAACATTTCAACCAGTTTTCCATTCGTCGCAAAACCAGTGGGTGAGAGCCCGCGCAGCTAGGTTCCTCCAAAACTTGAACCCCAGAAATTGTTGATCATAATTTTCCCTATCAAAATAATCATATTGAGGTATCCCCAAGTTGTCCATTCCCTATAAACATGATCATTTCAGGTATCCCCCCATTGACAAAGCCCAATCTGAGGCCCACACATTAAAAGGCATGCTGAAGTCAGGCCTAGGTCGACTATGTACGGACAAATCTTATCTTGGACTCGTGGGGTCCAACAAAAATATGAAAGAACTACTGACAATTGGACAGGGATGCCATCTTGTGATGTAACAACCTGAAGAATTCCAAGAGTCACTTGCATCTCCCTCTGTGGGTCCTTCAACAAGGCATGGACGACTCTACCTGGGTTGCCCAGCATGGGAACCATGACGATCATGCCCTCAGTGAAGTGTAGCCTCCCACAGCCAAGTCTCGTTAGGGCAAAAAGGACACCATGCAAATTCAGCAAACTCGAGCTGTCTTGCGTGTGTAAGTTGAAGAAACGATGAATCCATTTTTAGTTCATCATCTATTCCACCATATTCATCCATATTCCACCTTTCACTTTCATGAAAGAGGCGTCGAAGTCTTGGAACCTAAGTTCCTTGACGAAACCATAAACCATTCATGGACCAATCCAATCCTCCAGGCCATCCCCAAATGTGGGCCTGTAGGAGGGTCTTGGCTCTGAGCTAGACATCCTTAGAGATCTGACAACACATGGGGGCAATCGCCAAACTGCAACCGGGATTTGGTTTGAAAAAAGATGATACCCTTGAAATGGGATGGTTTCCCATTCAAAATGGATCCAAATCTGCGGTCAGCCGAGGCTGACACGGTCCAAGCGAGGCCGCAAAGCCCACAGTCCCGATGGTTCCTGTGAGTGGAGAGGATCAGTTGAGGATGGTACCTGATGGCTCTGGAATCATTCGGTTTCAATGTTCAGGAACTTAGGAATACGTCACAAAATTCACAAAGCTGAAATAGGTCAAGCAATGTTCAGCCCATACTTGTGCCATCATTCGTGGACCGTGGATGCTGGAAACGCCAATCCGTTCAGATACCATGTTGAAAGCCAGTGGTAGGAACATCTGGGGTTCAAACCATCGCCAGCTTCATCATCGAGCCATACAGCACCGCCCACATCAAAGCCCTCAAGGGCAGTCATTACTGGGTGCTGCCGACTGCCAGATGAGTGAGATCATGTGCTCTGAAAATGGGCACCCCTCAAAAGTCCAAAGGTTTATCACTGGTTTCCCCCCATTAGCAGATTACACTTTTGGGGTATACCAAATGCCTCAGTGCTTTGTACCCTGCCTATTTGTGCATTAAGGGGAGTCCCATGTCTACCCCTGGGACCCAGCATCAGGCCCTAAAGTTTCAGTTCTAACAAAATGGAGAGGGAATAGATCGAATACTTGCCAGATGGTCCATTTCAAGAGCCTTCTCGCAAGCATAGGAAAATTCTCGGAAGTTGATGAAGTTCTTCCTCAGCTTTAGATGCCGCCCTGGTCACCAATGGGGATGGCGATCAGAAGTGAAGGGTTTGCATAAAACCACCAAAAAAAAAACATGTTATTTAAATATATAATAATATATATTGGACCAGCAATGTGGGGGGGCATTACAATAAATACCATTAATTTCAAAGCAATGCCCACAAGGCACTTTGGGATCAGGGACCAGGTGCAGCCCAAGGGGGATTTCAATGTTACACCGGCTGTGCACGGAGTCCCACCATGTGTTTTGGGAAGCCTGGGGCCTGGGTGTCCCTGGCAACACATCCAGGAAAATGCTCACAGAGCCGCCACTCTTCAATGCCTGCGGTTGGTCAAAGGTGCCAAAGGCTGCCGCACTCAGGTAACCCATATGACATGCCCAGGAAAATACCCATTTCAATTGGAACATCATCTGTAAATTTGGAATCGTGTGGACGTTTCTATTGCATTCTATTGCGATCTCAAACGGCCCAAACACTGCGTTCATGTCCTGCATGCATCAATCCTGTGAGGGGGTGTGTTGCAACCATGATAGAAACACTAATAAAGTAGCAATGATTGAGAAATCTTATAGCCACGTTACAGCAATTAGTTGAGCAACCACGATACAAATGATAAGGTCCAGATAAGGTTCCATGCAATATCATTGTTCCTAGCTATATGTTAGCACTGCTTTTAGCCATCTAGTACGACTGCTCCTAGCCATACAGCACCACTGTTCCTAGCCACTGCCATTGCTCCTTAGAAGGTGCCGGTCCCTAGGACGAAGGCCCGTTTTGTTAGGAGGCAGGGAAGCACTGGACGGGCCTAGGAGCTGTGGTACTGCATGACTAGGAGCAAAGGACCTTCAGGTCTTGCCGTATTAGTAGAAACCATCTAAACATCTGCAACCTTATTGTTAGCATCTTTAGCATCCTTATCCCTGTTACCAATATCAGTTTTTATGATTCCTTTCGGTAGTTTTGGCCCTTAATTATCCTGTGGCTATCTTCTCTTTCGTTCATCAGCAAGCCATGAATCCTAATGGTGGTACATGTCAACTAAACAATATGAAGACTCAGAGTCCAATCCATAGCTATACCATTTGCTTGAATGACTAAACATCAATAGCTGTACCATAGCTGTACCATAGCTGTACCATAGCTGTACCATAGCTGTACCATAGCTGTACCATAGCTGTACCATAGCTATACCATAGCTATACAGTAGTATCAATAGCTGTTTCGAACACTATGCACGTTCTCCACCAAGCACCCGCATTTTTGGCAGCCCGGTCCAGCGACAGCGAGAAGTCGGTGGGTGAACGCAGGCCATCGGACGCGGTGAACCTTGGGATTTGTCACCCGGATCCCAGGTTTTGTTAAAAACAACAAGTTTGGTTTGGCTACTGGTTGGTGAAATGGTGTGAAATGTTCATTTTTGTTCGATTGGTTGAATCCCTACTGACCTTAAAAAAATCCATGTCTAAAAATTGCTCAATTTCCCCTTGCTGATGGTCAAATCCCAATTTCTGTTGATCAACGCCGCAAATTTGCTGTCCCCATTTTTGATGGCTCCATTCCAGTGTCTGATGGTTAAATCCAATCGAAGGTTAACTCCTTTTTACTGGCTGTCAATCACAATTGTGTTTAATTGTAGTTAAATCATCTTAATCAAATCCCCATTTTTGAGGGTTAACTGCCCATTTTTTGCCCAGCTGACTCCATCCACCCCATCTGCGATTCCTCACTGCAACTGCAGCCGCTTTATCGCCTCGGCACCCGCAAGCTCCACCTCGGCAATGCAGGGGGCAGGGCCTGGAAATTGCGGTGTATATGATGATGGGAACCCAAAAAAAATAGAAAGGTATAGAAAAATCGTTTGTATCACATTATGCCACTATAGATAGTTTACTTAAGATTTGATTCCTTCCTTTTGTTTCTGTCTAATTTTTGGGGGGCGAATAAAGTGAGGCTGTAGCATGTCGCCGCTATTGAATTTCATTCGGCAAAGTCCTTGGAGGTTCCGGTGGAGACTACGCCTTGTTGATGTGTTTGCAATTGCTCACTCAAGTCTCCCCAGTCCTCAAACGTCTCATGCATCTCAGTTTCTCAAGCTGTATTTTGATGTACCCTCTGGTTATTTAACATAGCCATGGAAAATGGCCCATTTATAGATGGTTTACCTATTAAAAATTGTGATTTTCCATGGCTATGTTAAATAACCAGAGGGTATTTTGCCAAAAGAACAAACACTGCTGCAAATCCCCAAAGCTTTCGAAGCTGGGGCAGCTGACACTGGCACCTGTGGCATCCACCCAAACGGCGCGGATGCTGTGCCAGAGGGGCCTGGGCATATCAGGTGGACCAGCTAGAATTTCGAGAACTGGAATGAACGAGTTGTGATTCGGGATGGAAAACCGGAAAGTTTTATTATAGGATTAATACCGCCAATAATACAAAAAAAGGAATGCAGCCTCTGCTTTGCGTTCAACGAAAACAATTCAATAGCACTCAGTAGCCCTTCTTGCGTCCCACCCAGACGTGGAGTACTTGAGGGATCACACATGCCCTTTTCTCCATGTTGCAACTTTAGACTGGCTCTCTGACAGAGAAACAGAACATGAATCTTCAACAGAAGTGAACATTGGTCACAATCCAGTAGCTATTCATCCATCAATCCTTGTACAAGAATTCATGTTAACACGCATCTCAAACAGCCACTGACAGCGATAGTTTGCGGTGGCAACCTTTCCGTAGGCCGTAGCATGACTGACACATGGTGATTTTGAGATGGTGACAGGGTTGCTTTCACAGTTTCATGATCTGTCTGAAAGCAATCAAAAAGGTGGAAGCTAGCTAACTTCGGGAAGATTTTCGGAAAATGCAAGTACTCCAGTCCCACACCAATGCTAGCCTGATGAAGAATGGCAACTGATCCTTGCAACCGGTTTGAGGGGTTTCTTGAAGGAGCCGCCAGTGTAAGGAAAAGTCAACTTTCATGACAAACAAAGAATGACTGTTGCACGCCTGATGCCCAATCTGCAGTATTCCGACACTTGCTGCGAACGAAACTAGAATCGATCATTGATCATGTGATATTTTCGCGACTTAACCAGCATGTTTTGTATTGGGGGTATCCTTATCTTGAGTTTTCAAACAAACCCAACTCTCAGCGGGGTCAGTTCAGATGCTGGGCTCTGCACCAGAAATCGTATGTATCTGGACCGGCCCGGATTGCTGAGACCTCACGCAGGAGAGGTGAGGAATCCTGTCCGGTGTGGGTTTGTCTGAGAATGGGGTATTCCCAAGTAAGGGATGATCATCATGTTTCCCATTCGGAAATTGTGGGGTATATGATACCATGGTATACTTTTTTTTGGACAGATCCAAATGCATCTACAAAATGTATAGCACGGAATGATCATGAATGATCAATCGAAGCTGCCACATTGACCTTGGGAATAAGTCCTTGATTGGTCGACAATCATCCCACAGGGAAATGATCCTATGTTTAACATAGCTATGGAAAATAGCGCATTGATAGATTATTTGTGAATTCAAAATCGTGATCTTCCAGAGCTATGTCAAATGATCAGAGGCTCATCTCATATCTCAGTCTCACATTCCTGAGCCAAGTGACGAAGCAGGTACCGCCCATGCGTTCGTTCGCTACGGCCTTCCTGGCAGAGTTCGGCTTCGGATCGCGCGACGGGTTGTCACTTCAAGGTGTCTACAAGCGCAACTGCGGACTGAGATAAATCAACTTCCGTCCAATGTTTGCTCAGCACTTTGGGTCCCTCCTGTTTAGGTGTGCACGCAGGAAGCACTCGGTGACACCGGTGCTCTGGACGAGCACTCTAACACCTCCGGTGCTAATGTGCACATTCAATGATTCAAAAGGAGATCCTGTATTCGTGCATTTCCTTGCGCACGCAAGACAAGCTTTCAAAAATTGCAGTGTCTATACATCTGCCTTGGAGGATCAAGGATTGGACCGCCGCAAAGCCGCTTTGGTTTGATCGCGGCGCATATTGGCCAACTTTGCTTCCTGAGTTCGTTCAATCCTGGAGCCAATCTTATCGAAACTCCCATCGCCATGCCTGTCCAGTCGAAACATCTGGGCAATCCGAGCATACTCCTTGCCAAATGCATCTTGCAGAGCCATGCGACATTGTGCATCAGTCTTCACGTTTCGAGCTGACATGTCTGCCAAAATATGCTCGATATCCCAGATACGATTCAACCTGGACAATCTTATGAAGACTTGGGTGTAGTCAAGCACGTTGCCATCAAAGCCGGCAGACTGCATCTCCTGAAACGTTGCAATTGCGTTTTCGTACTTCTTGGCTTTGAACCAAGCACGGATAAGTGTACCATAGGTGACAACAGTCGGCTCCAGATTGAGAAGCTTCATGTCTTTGAAGTAGCTTGTTGCAAGCTCTGGACCCTGTACTCGAGCAGCAGCATTCATGATGGCAGTGTAGGTGATCGCATCTGGCATGACGTATGCGGCTCCCATTTTCTGAAGGGCCTCTTCCTTGAGATGGCCAAAGGACATGCAAACTTCTGGATTAAAAAACATTATACTATATAGATGGAAATAGATGAAATACAGGCACTACACTCACTTGCGCACCTAGAAATTCACTCACTTACGCACCTGGGAAATGCACTCACTTGCGCACCTAGAAAATCACTTACTTACGCACCTGGGTCTCCATTTTATACGTAAATTACCAGGAAATTACGCTATCACGCATTGCAACCAAAGCGCCACGAAACCTTTAGGGTTTTTGTCTTGTTGCATTTTATACGTAAATTACCAGGAAATTACGCTATCACGCGTTGCAAACAAAGAGCCACGACACCTTTAGGGTTTATGCCTTGTTGCATTTTATACGTAAATTACCAGGAAATTACGCTATCACGCGTTGCAAACAAAGAGCCACGACACCTTTAGGGTTTATATCTTGTTACATTTTATACGTAAATTACCAGGAAATTACGCTATCACACTTTGCAAACAAAGAGCCACGACACCTTTAGGGTTTATATCTTGTTGCTCTTAATGTAAGGAGAGCCACGACACCTTTAGGGTTTATATCTTGTTGCACTTGATGTAAGAAGAGCCACGACACCTTTAGGGTTTGTATCTTGTTGCACTTGATGTAAGAAGAGCCACGACACCTTTAGGGTTTATACCTTGTTGCACTTGATGTAAGAAGAGCCACGACACCTTTAGGGTCTCTATCTTGTTGCACTTGATGCAAGAAGAGCCACGACACCTTTAGGGTTTATATCTTGTTGCACTTAATATAAGGAGAGCCATGACACCTTTAGGGTTTGTATCTTGTTGCACTTGATGTAGGAAGAGCTACGACACCTTTAGGGTTTATACCTTGTTGCACTTGATGTAAGAAGAGCCACGACACCTTTAGGGTTTATATGTTGTTGAACTTGATGTAAGAAGTGCCACGACACCTTTAGGGTTTATATCTTGTTGCACTTGACATAAGAAGAGCCACGACACCTTTAGGGTTTATATCTTGTCTCACTTGATGTAAGAAGAGCCACGACACCTTTAGGGTTTATATCTTGTTGCACTTGATGTAAGAAGAGCCACGACACCTTTAGGGTTTATACCTTGTTGCACTTGATGTAAGAAGAGCCACGACACCTTTAGGGTTTATATGTTGTTGAACTTGATGTAAGGAGAGCCACGACACCTTTAGGGTTTATATCTTGTTGCACTTAATGTAAGGAGAGCCATGACACCTTTAGGGTTTGTATCTTGTTGCACTTGATGTAGGAAGAGCTACGACACCTTTAGGGTTTATACCTTGTTGCACTTGATGTAAGAAGAGCCACGACACCTTTAGGGTTTATATGTTGTTGAACTTGATGTAAGAAGTGCCACGACACCTTTAGGGTTTATATCTTGTTGCGCTTGACATAAGAAGAGCCACGACACCTTTAGGGTTTATATCGTGTTGCACTTGATGTAAGAAGAGCCACGGCACCTTTAGGGTTTATATCTTGTTGCACTTGGTGTAAGAGGAGCCACGACACCTTTAGGGTTTATATCTTGTTGCACTTAATGCAAGGAGAGCCACGACACCTTTAGGGTTTACATCTTGTTGCACTTGATGTAAGGAGAGCCACGACACCTTTAGGGTTTATATCTTGTTGCACTTGATGTAAGGAGAGCCACGACACCTTTAGGGTTCATACCTTGTTGCACATGATGTAAGAAGAGCCACGACACCTTTAGGGTTTATATCTTGTTGCATTGATGTAAGAAGAGCCACGACACCTTTAGGGTTTATATCTTGTTGCTCTTAATGTAAGAAGAGCCACGACACCTTTAGGGTTTACATCTTGTGGCACTTGATGTAAGAAGAGCCACGACACCTTTAGGGTTTATATCTTGTTAAACTTAATGTAAGAAGAGCCACGACACCTTTAGGGTTTATATCTTGTTGCACTTGATGTAAGAAGAGCCACGACACCTTTAGGGTTTATACCTTGTTGCACTTAATGTAAGGAGAGCCACGACACCTTTAGGGTTTACATCTTGTTGCACTTGATGTAAGAAGAGCCACGACACCTTTAGGGTTTATATCTTGTTGCACTTGATGTAAGGAGAGCCACGACACCTTTAGGGTTTACATCTTGTTGCACTTGATGTAAGGAGAGCCACGACACCTTTAGGGTTTATATCTTGTTGCACTTGATGTAAGAAGAGCCACGACACCTTTAGGGTTCATACCTTGTTGCACATGATGTAAGAAGAGCCACGACACCTTTAGGGTCTATATCTTGTTGCACTTGATGTAAGAAGAGCCACGACACCTTTAGGGTTTGTATGTTGTTGCACTTGATGTAGGAAGAGCCACGACACCTTTAGGGTTTCTATCTTGTTGCACTTGATGCAAGAAGAGCCACGACACCTTTAGGGTTTATATCTTGTTGCACTTAATGCAAGGAGAGCCACGACACCTTTAGGGTTTCTATCTTGGTGCACTTGATGCAAGAAGAGCCACGACACCTTTAGGGTTTCTATCTTGTTGCACTTGATGTAAGAAGAGCCACGACACCTTTAGGGTTTATTCCAGTGGACGTAGAAGTAGAAGTGGAAGTAGAAGGAGAAGAAAAAATAGATGTGGAAAAATAAGTAGAAGGACAAGTAGGAATAGAGCTGAAAGTAGAAGTGGAAGTAGAATGAGAGGTGCAAGTAGAGGTAGAAGTGGAAGATTCTCAGGTGCATAAGCGAGAGCATTTTCAGGTGCACAAGCGAGACGATTCTCAGGTGCACAAGCGAGTACCATGCCTGAAATACATCATAATCCACAATAAATTAGGTGTAATTCCCTATCCAAAAAAAAACAACCGTTTTTTTCATGACATAGCTCACTTGGCTGGGCGTTTGGAAGTGTTCTTGACCCAGAATTCCAAGATCGAAGCAGCCATCACTAAACAGACTATACACAAAAAACATCAAAAAACTTTATAGCTGAAACGAATAGGTTTAGGGTCGCATTTGGGAGGTGGTCAAAAGAATACAAAATACATGTGCTCACCAGTGCGTGAGGTCTTGCACAGAACCGTACTTACCCAGTACCATTTTTTGCAATTACCCCATACAGGAATTATGTCTCTGCAATAACCCGTACTGTACTTCACATTTGACATGAAATTTTGAGACTCAATGTCTATTTCTGTGTGTCTTTCTTGCAAAAGGCAAGAATCTGCAGGAAACCTTCACAGGTTTCAGCTCCAGAGGCTTTCTTGATTTAAAAAAACACTCATGAATTGAGACAAAGCTTCTGCTGCCTGAAGATCGCCGGCCTTGCTTGCAGCATTGATCAAGTCTGTGTACTGCCTTTTTCCTGGCTTGAACTCGGCATCCTCCATTCTTTGAAGCCACTTTTGTGCTGCCTGATACCCTTGCTTTGAGTTTGCCGCTGCGGTAACCATCTTAGTTGCCAAAACGACACCCTGGAGCGCATAGTTGACATGACACTTCATTCATCTCAAGGCCCTGCATTAAGCTCTATGTCCAAGTGTATATGGGCTTGTGAAAATATGTGAAAATGGGGGACGCCCAATTCCAATGGATCATCATTCTGGTGGATTAACGCTGCAAGAGTATGGTAACCCGCAAAAAGATGGAAAGGCTAAATTTGCTAATTACATCCCCGTTCAGATTGGACCCGAGGGGTTGGGAGCCCCATTTTGTAGCTACAGAACGGCGTCCCCAAGGTGCCCTTCTTACAAGTTGGCAGAACCCAACGTTCACCGAGGAAGGTTTTTGTTACAAAATGGCAGTCCAAGCTGACCCCTAGTTACAAAATGACTCACCGATTTTGCTCGACTCGCATCCGCTCGCATCCGTTGGCTCGATTTGCCCTTTACAGAATGGTGGGGACTGGGGGTGGCTATACTCGCACTATCCTAGGATCCCTGGGAAGTAACCTGCAACAGCCCGGCCAACCCGAGTCGCGGTTCATTTTTTCCGTTCTTTTGCGTTCATCCGTCTGTTTTGGCGTGACGCTGTCTGAGTGGCCAAGCTAAACATTAAATACAACGTTGGATGTCATAATCAAAAAATATAAATATATCGATATATATATATATGTATATATATATATATTATCTGACCCCTAGTTACAAAATGAGTCACCGATTTTGCTCGACTCGCATCCGCTCGCATCCATTGCCTCGATTTGCCCTTTACAGAATGGTGGGGACTGGGGGTGGCTATACTCGCACTATCCTAGGATCCCTGGGAAGTAACCTGCAACAGCCCAGCCAACCCGAGTCGCGGTTCATTTTTTCCGTTCTTTTGCGTTCATCCGTCTGTTTTGGCGTGACGCTGTCTGAGTGGCCAAGCTAAACATTAAATACAACGCTGGATGTCATAATCAAAAAATATAAATATATCGATATATATATATATATGTATATATATATTATATTATATATATAATATTTTATATATATATATCATATATATATATATTTAAATAGATGTGACTCATCTCGAGCATTCATGACCACTCAGACGCATCAGACTTTTCAAGGCCTCTCCCAAGCCCTGCACCCAAGGCTATGAAAATTATTCTGTGATTTTTTGATTCCATCCAGTTTGTAGGGGCTATAGTTGAGTATTATCCATTTACGCTTTGAATCCATCCAATTTGTAGTGGTTATTGATTAGCCCTCCAGACTCCGACAGAATGGTCGGGACTGGAGGGTAACAAACTCGCACTTCCAATGCAAAATTCCGGTACCAGGGGGGGGTCCACTTACAAGATGGCAGAACCCAGGGTCAAAATTTTGCACAAAATGGTAGCCAAAAACCATTCTGTAATGGCCCTGAGGCCTCAGATTTAGTAACAAAAATTTCAACGGGTATCTAATTACTAATTTTAGTAGACTGACAATCTGTTCAACTCTTCGATCTTTTTGGGTCGCCACACAAAGAGCATGCTGATTGCATTGCCCAGGTGCTATTCCTAGGACAATTTGATTTGGCTTCAAGTCGTCACTGCCACGTTCCATCATGTTGAAGTACTTCTCGGCGCGTTCCAAATCGCCCACCCGTGCAAATGCCGATAGCAAGGCTCCATACGCAACATCATCAGGTTCAATTTCCTGCGCCTTCATTTCCTGAAAGTATTTCTTGCTTCAGGAACCATCCTCCTTTTGGCAGCAGCAGAGATCATGCTGGTGTAAGACTCCTGAGTTGCATTCAAGTCATACTCAGAGAACTTCTGGAACCACGACTTTGCTTCCTTGACGTTTCCAACATTTGCAGCTGCTTGGATGACAGTGTTGATCGTGTTAGCCTCAACCTGGAAGTCACTCAACGCGTGAAGTTTCTCAAACCACTCAGCAGCCTTTGCAAAGTCTCCTTTCAAAGAAGCCTGATGCATATAGTGCAATCCATCGCCAATAGTTGTGATAGACTTCCTGCAGGGATGAATGGCTTGAACTTCTAGAGTTGGGACTCTCTCTCTTTGATGAAATGTCCCAATTCAAACCATTCAACAATAGGAACAGGAACTGCATCAACATTGCTAAGCTGTATACTTGACATGGAAGGGATGACTGCTTGGCCTCGCTGCGCCTGGGCTTGTGCTGCCCCTGCCGCCGTCTTTCCTGCTCCTTGCGTTTGTACTCCGACTGCCGCACTTGCCGTGGGACTCTGCTCTGCCGTCGCTGTCGCATGGGTGAGAGGCCTGCCACTGGAAAATCATGGCCCCACTGCAGTAGACATCAATATGGGGGGGGGGGGGTCGTTCCAAAATGGGGAACCCCAAAATCATTGGTTTCCTGAGTATGGGAGTCGCCAGAATGTTTCCATAATTTACAGGTTGCCAACTTTTTTATCTATTTGGGGGTTGCTATATCTATGACCAAAGTTGGATGTTTGGAAACGCTCAGTCAATAGGCACAGATCGGATAAAAGGGAGCAAAATGGTGGTGCAAATGCATGCACATGCTGTATGTGATATGCCACTTGCGCGGGAACGTTTGACAGATGCTCACAATGTACAAAGTGAGGAAGTTCTGGGGCTGATGGACAACCAACTAATCACATCCCGTTAACAATGAACCCCTCTATAATACAATGGGACCTCAAAATAAAGAAATCTTCTACTCAATAGCTGGGTGTCCGGAGTTATTTGAAGGGGAAGGCATTGCCACGTCCTCATGCGGAGACCGGCCTTTCAGAAAGACTGGTTGCAGAGTCCAGGAAAGCAGCACCAAGCACAGGCATAAAATCTTCACCATGGCTGAAGCAAAACTGGAAGTGATCTATGTTATACCTAGAATGTGCCACCTGGCCGTGCTTAAAGCCATATCGTTGCCGTGGTCATGGCCTCAACAGGCTGGAAATGATCCAGGTTCTGGGGCCCATACGGCTTTGTCTGAAAAGGTACACAAAAATCCGTGGTTTAGATGAGAAAATATGAGAAAATCATGTTCCTCAGGGTATCCGGGTGTTTCCTTTTTGAATCTTTTTGTGACAAACCACTCACCCACTGGGCTTCTCAAAATTGTGGACTCGGATTCCCCCGTTGAAAAGTGATGAATTTTTGGTCCTAGTTTCAGGCTCCCAAATCTCCATCCCAGTCGAACCGAGCTTGACGTCCTGTCCTGGGAGAGCATGTCCCGCATGACGCGAGGCCGATTGTCACTACCCTGAGAAGTCCAGGGACCACCTGGGTACAGCGCCAAATTTCTGCAGATTCGGCTGTGAAATCCACGTGAGTCTGGGACAAAAGTGTCTGAATCAATAGCTGGGCCTTAAATTTTGACCCATAGAGTGGCCGAGATCTCACTTGTACCCATGAAAACCAAAAAATGATGTCTGGCATTTCGGGCCACCTGCTTTGATATCTGAGGTCCCAACTAAAGAACCTCGGCAAAGAAGGGAAGTGGGAGCTTTTTGTGCGCGATCAACTTTTGATGTCAGTGACAGTGAGTTTTCATGAGTGCAGTGACCACGTGCGACGCAATGTTATACTGTGCATAGATCATCTTGCAGCATCCCAAGTCTTTGACTGCGCGATAGAAGACTGCTGAAGCAACCTCAGGTCAACCATCAGTTTTTTCAGCTATATCAGAAACCCAATGCCATAGACATACCGTGTGAGGATTGTTTATACCATCCATACAATGGTGATTGAGGGGATGGTTTATTCTGGGGTTTATGACATTACATCGCTTACTGTAAACAAATCTACATCCCCCTGCACACGCAGAATGATCATGATGACAAGTTGAATTCCTTCCACAGTCAATTGGCCAGTCATCCAAACATGGCAACACCTCTGGGGCATCCTGCGATGCCGTTGGCACTAGCACCACCTCCAGCCAGGCTTCAAGATCTACAGTACCTCGCCTGCATGTTCTTGGGGGTCTTCCGAATTCCAGGGACACCACTAACATGCCCAAAAGATGGTCTAGACAGAAAGGTACAGTACCAAAACAGGAGCTCTTCAGACTTTTGGCGTCCAGCCTTCAAACTTCCCCTGTCCCCTCCATGCCTGACCACCATGCACGTTGTAGGTCTGTCGCGCTTCAGGCCTCTCAAGATGAGGAGAGAAGACCAAAAGTTACTCATAAACCCTTCATTGGTGGATTTGGTTTTAGCTGCATAGCGGGCATAGCTATAGCCTCAAAATCTGGCACGCAAAAGTATGTAAATATACGTAAAGTAAAGCCACCTGAATCACCTCCTTGATCTTGGTTGATCTCACTGTATGGTGCCCCCTGTTTCAGATAAAACCAACCCGACTGAGCTCCCTGCAGCCCTGGTGCGGTCCCCGGCCACCAGAAGGCAACGTCTGAGGAAGCCTAGGCTTCAGAAATCGAGAAAGCTGGCATGGAAGATTCATAATCAGCCCAATGGTTCATACTCAGCCCAACTTTATTTTCGGTATGGTGCAGTTGGGATGGAGCTGTTATGCTGCTATGCGCTGATGAAATTTCAGGGCTCTGTGTAGCAGATCAGCTTTTTGGTGGATCAAAGCGCCTGGAAGTTTGTATCATTCCACCTACAGCAGGACACATCTCATGAAAATGAAACCGCTTTGGGTCTCTGCATTGCGGCATGGTTTCAACTTGGCAGTCTTCAGGGACAAAGTGGATCCATGCAACATTTATATATCGCCAGGTGGGAAGGATGGCATGTTAAGAGGGACGTGGGATGTGACTCTAACCTCTCTTTGCAAACAAATGTATGGTCAGCCTACTTCATTATGCATCGGATTCACTCAACTACCTCCAAACGTGCTCGTGCTCACTGCATACTCAGATTTCCAACTGATGCATAATGAGTCCCTAGGAACGTGTTTTTGCTGGTTGCATACATCTGGGTACATCTGCAGTGTACAATATCATTTTTCATGATTGCAAGCAAGTCTTCAGTATGGGGGCTACAAATCAGAAAGCCAATATCTTTCCAGGAAATATGACTACGTTGCGATAGTTGTCCAAGTCTTGCATTATATCTATATACAAATTTCTTCACTGAACTCAAAGCCACCTCGAAACATCTGGGTATCCCCAACGGCGGCAACACATGTCTCCACTTTCCGTGCCTCGTGTGAAGCACCAAAGTTTGCCGCGTTTTGCACCAGTTCTTTTGACGGCCCTGGACCCTGTAGACAGCCAAGCTACAGCGAAGCTGTTCAACCACGCAGGCAAGGAGGCCACATCGCCTGGCAGTACCTGCAGCCGGGCTTGGTCGAAACAAGCTGCTGGGAAGCAGGCTGAGATGCAGTTTGCAAATGTTTCGGAACTGGTATACCGGGTGCATCCCATCACAGCTCAGTTTTCTAATCAGGGGTACTCTCTCTCTCTCTCTATCTATCTATCTATCTAATCTAATCTAATCTAATATTCCTGTTGTTTTCTTTCTTTCTTTCTTTCTTTCTTTCTTTCTTTCTTTATTTCTTTCTTTCTTTCTTTCTTTCTTTCTTTATTTCATTATTTCTTTCTATCCATCTATCTATCTATCTATCTATCTATCTATGTTATATTTATACATATATCAGTTCCAAACTCTTTACCACTTCTTGTAGGGATTCCAGGAGGCTTTCTCCCATTAACCGGCGCACAACATCCAACGAAGCTCTCACGCTAGCTTCGCTCTTGGACCTGCAACCGCGGGAGCCATGGTCTGTCGCTGGATAAGACCCACCATCATCATCATAATAATAATAATCTACACTAGCAGAAGTAAAAACAATATAAAAAGAAAGTTATATAAATAAACCTATACAAATAAATGATGAAACAGTTTGAAACAATACCATGATGCCTACCCATCCAGCCCACCTTTGTACCGCCAGGGTCAGGGACGCCAGGGGCGATTCAGCCACTTGTAGCACCAGCGAGCTCAACAGAGCTGCCAGCCCTCTGTGGCGACCTGGGACACTTTTCACCAGAAATGGGAATTGAAAAAGAAAAATTCAAAGAACAGGTATAAAATGATAGAAATTCATACCATAGCTCCATAACTGTTAATTGGAAAAATAGTGGCTGGTAATAATTGATAATACCAACAGAAGTTTTGGAAAAACCACGTAATGGTGCGAGTCTGTATTGTACCAATTGAAAAAGAATTGAACGTTGCCCGAATCCATGGAAGATGGAGACTAGGTTTGATGGAGGCTTCAATCCGATTACCAAAACGTGTGGCAGGGCACGGGTTGGACCTTCCACAATCCAAATGGCAGCACTGCCTTCCCATATGTACCATTGCAGTCATCAAAAAAGATGTCGACATGGTTTTATTCAGCATCTTTCAGCATGTTCATCTTAGTTGAATCTGTAGAATCCTAGTTTCTCCGGGGGTTGACCCCGCAGATACTTGAATCCTGGTAGTGAATGTGGATTCAATGTGGACCAAGGCTGAGTCTCCAAGCCGCAGGGCAACAGCTTCAGCCAAGGGGTGAGGTTTTCCGTGCACACCGGTTCGTAAGGCAAGGTGGCCTCGGCATTGACTGGGGTTTATTTGGGTAAATTCAAGTCTCAGGGCTCCGAGCTTTGGTGATGTTCACTAGACCATCCAATTTTGGGACACAGTTTTGATCCATACCCACGGGTGAAAACATCTCAAAACCCTGGCCTCGTGACCACCTCAAAAGAGGTGTGGATGGTTGCGAAATCCTGCACCAGTTCTTTAGATGCTTTATCCCATCATAATCCCATTGTTTAATCATTACCAATACAGTAGTTCATAGTTACCCAATAAGGTACCAACTGGTACAGGATTTCACCACAGCTCCACACATGGCGAAGCTTGGCTTCCGGGCCAGGCGAAAACTGGTGCCTTTGGCGGACCAGGCAGCTGGTAGTTGCAGCGGCCTGGCCCCAGCATTGTTGCTGAGCCTCGGAAAATCCGTCATAAAATTGATGGTGTGCATCAACACTTACCCTCTGGGTATGTCAAAATAGCTATTGAAAATGGCCATTTATAGTGGATTTTCCCATTAAAAATGGTGATTTTCCATAGTTATGTTAGTTTACCAGAGGGTAAGAACTGTTTGATACTGTTTGTATCTTTGACACTTCAGAATGGATCACGTTGTTGAGGATTTCTAGTTGCCATCTTTGTCTACTGCAAGGGTGCACCCGGTCCAATGTTTTGATCTCTGCAGAGATGGCGGAAGTTTTGGGCTTCTCTGCTGCGTTTCATCTTCTCCCGCCGCCAGTGCCGGATTCATGCCTCGCTGGAGGTTTGATCTAAGCAGCTAATGGAAACTGATTTGTTTGGCTCATCGAATTGCACCCGCGTTCCCCTAAACCTTGGGCTTGCTGGTTTTGAAACTATGATGCCGGCACGAAAGTAAGGTAAGCGCAAACTAAATGGAAAGTGTTTTCCAAAACATTCACAGTGGCAATGCCCCCAAAAAATGCCCTGCATACGTGTGCTGGCCACACCTTCGAAGGATGCACACATTGATCCAGCCAATGTGGAGACCTCACAGTGATTCACAGGTGAAAGGGACCAGCAATGAGGGGGGGATAGTTTGTACGGAAAACCAAGGTTCAAGGCTTTTACCCATAAATATATGGCGTTCCTTCAATCTGAGAGGTTGGTTGGGCCACCCATCACACAAAAATGATGTGCTCTTCTTTCAACGCAGTCCAAGCTTTGACAGCAGAGGATCTCAACCCCGATTGAACACTGTATGAACCAATTGACCGTTGACAGGAACAATCAAACATAACTACACAAAAAAAAAGTAATAAGTAATAAGCATTTAGATGTTCAGGTATCTTATCTTATATGTTTTAAGGGGTCAAAAAAAAGACTCTATAGATTCCGCATTTCCCATTGGGAAAAAAATATTCAGCAAGTCCGGGTTTAGATTTTCAGGTATCTCATCACCACCCTATCTCACCTGAGCCCAGCAAAAATCTTGGACTCAGCTCAGCACCAGAAATCGATATGCGGCAGTTGCTCCAGGGTCTTCCGCCTTTCAGCCATCTCTGACCCTGGGACCTGTGGATCTATAGTTTTCGACCCATCAAAGTGGTGGTAAAATGGAGGTATCATGGGGATATAATGAGGATATACAACCATATCATACCATATCCTAATGAGGATCTATAACCATATCTATGTGGTTTATGTGGTTTGGGGTGGTCTGAAGATAGTTTTTTCATAGGTGTTACGGTACCCCAATTGATGGCCATTTAGCGCAGGAAAGGATGAGAACGACCCCACTGGATTTTGGGGTCCCCTGTTTTCAAGCAAACCCAATTGGGATTGAATATTCACTTGTAATTAGCTGAGGAATACTCACAGCATGATATAATTGGGAATATCAACCAGTGACCCCTGAAGAACTCAGCTTGTAACTCCTACAATTACAGGTTTCATGACTAGGTCCTACAGTAGGTAGTTTGAATTAATTTTACGTTACTGTAAGTTGGAAGAACCACCTGCACGCTTCTGGAGAGGAATTTGTCCTGAAGTGGTAGCTCCCAAATTTGAGGGTCCGACAGGTACCCAGATGTGACTTGAGCCACATCCACATCCTCAGAGATTAACCTTACATAGAACATAGATATCAATACATATTATATATATACTATTATATATGTGGGTATTATTTTGCTTATCCTCAGATATTCACCTGACATATCAACATGCCCATATTGACCCAAACTAAATATCCACTTTTGAGCCTGCCTGCTCTGTCAGTGCGGTAGCCAGCACTGCCCCCGGTGGCCGGAACCTTGGCTTTCGAGACGAGCGATCCCGGGCATCATAAACCATCCAGCTACTGGGGATCTCCCATTGTAGGAAACCCCCAGATGGGGTTAGCCATGAGAAAACTGTGCATTCAAAGCCAACAAAGGAAGAGGCTTCAATTTACAGATTTCCACTACTAAACTAGCCAATGAAATTGTGGACTTTGATGGATCTCCCCATTGTTGGCCACACCCACAGTAAGAAGAATCCTGTGGATCTGAGATTCACAACATGTTTTTGAAAAGACCTACCATCAACACACATATCAACCATCATCAACTACCCCATCTTTTTGGCAATGAGCTTTCCAACTTCCCTTCCAAGAAACTGCCAATTTGCTACCACTGGGCTAATCCTCAAATAAACAACTGCTTCCAAAAGATGCAGCTGTTCAATCCCAATCTATCAGGTTTCCAGTTTACACATAGTTTCAGGATAGATCTACAATCCCAATCAGGATAGATTCTATATCCCAACTTCTCCCCAAGTCCCAAAAAAATCTCTCCCAGGTCCCGAAAAAAATCCGATTCCCATGGCCGGTCGCTGACCGAAGTCGAGGCCGGCGCTGGACCCAGGTTCCCGCGCTCCCAAGGCGCTTCGCCCCAGGCACTTTTCCATCGACCACGCGTCAGGGTGGCCTCGAAGGACTCGATGCCCAGATGCCTTGCAGACCCCGGTCAAAGGGGTGAAAAATGCTGGGTTTAACCATCAAAAATGGCAGAGGTCTATAGATGTCTAGCGATTTATTCATAGAAATTGGGTCCAACATGATTGATGATGCTGATTTAAGCATCAAACAGAGTTTTTATAGTGAGTTCATCACCGAAAATTTGGATTTATACGCCAAGAAATGTGAGTTTGACCTGATTTAACATAAATCCACAATCGGACGATAACTTTTCAAAGTGGGGGCTTTAGCCAGCAAAAAGCGGGTGGCAAATAGCAAGGTTTGGTCCCTTACAGGATACAACAGGATCAAAAATAGGATGACATTGCTAACATAAGGAGGGATAGAACCGATAAAACCACAACTTTCAAATGGTTTACCCCAGTGGCCCAGCAATTTCCTGGGGTGAGCTAAGCCCACTGTAGTTTGTCATAAAAAGACATTGGGAGAATGATCTGAAGCGATGCTTGCTACTGCTCACCTGCTCTCGTGCATGGGTAATAAAAAAGAGCATTCCAAAACTCCAACTGCCAAGCTATGCCAAAAGAATGATGCTGACTTTCTAAGTCCAAATAACGCAGAGTATATACCACTACAGCGAAAGTATGGTAGGGCTATGGTTGTTTTTTATAACCCAAGCCAAGTCATATATGAATCTAGATCATACAAGTAAACTGATATGAGATGATGCAAAAGCAAGACTTCCAGAAGGCAAGATAGCTGCTAATAGCTTGACTCTTTTGACCGCTGTTCTCTGTCACAATAAACGAAACAGCCCCAGGCTGATCGCCAAACGTGTCTGTTGACCAAGTGATCTTTCACCCACAACATTGACTCCGTTCTGGCCAGGCAAGCCAATTTCGAAACAGATTTAAAGGCACTCGCAAACTGTCCACACTTGTTTCTTAAATTCAATCATGAAATTCATTGAAATTCAATTTCACAGGACAGTGCGACACTTTAGTCGCTGGGATAATCCAAGTGCATACAATATAACAAGAGTTTCAGTCTCTGTTCTTCGCTCATCACCTTGGTGCTCTCATCCACCATGCTGGCATGGAGGTGTGTGCCTCGGAAGTGGTCAATGTTTTGAGAAAAATTCCTTCAGCCCGAGAATGATTTAGTACTGGATATTTGAAAATTTGGGTGTATTATGGTGTATTCATTTCTGGTCCCATATTGGGGCTACTTAGTACTTAATCATCATAATCTCAGGTAGGTACAAGGGAGTAGTGGTAAACCCAATGCCATAAAGCCTGGCCAATCTTTGCCAATGCCATGTGGAGATGAAAAACCAGACCACCAGATCCTCCACGAGGCGATCAAACCAAGGCACTGAGCTGTCCAGACAAATATAACTCTCGGTGCCTTAGGCGGGGGGTCGTTGTCTTTTTGTGACCACTTTGGTTCGGGATCATTGGATACATGGATAATTTATCCCAATTTTGGGGGGTAACATGAGAAGTGTCTCCTTCTCTTCCCTAGAAATGTGTTTCATGTTGTTTCCCGCCCTGTGTTTGCATGGATCCATTCGACTTCCTTCTAGGATCAGGATGTTCTATAGCGCAAACTCCGAATTCCTTTGTCGTGCTGATCAAAGTTGGTGTGGCTGTCGGCAAGGAACCACATTGATAAGGAATGGGAAGTCCTCCAAAACATGAATGACTCAATGAATGACCCAAAAGTGCATGCCAGCAAGACAAATAAATACTTTGTAGATCTTTGCAGCACTTTCAAAAATCTGACTAAACCGTGTAGGTCTCCGTCACTGAACCCCAGTGCCAGCAGCTCCAGACGAGTCAAGCTGCTGTTCATTGCTCAGGTTGAAATCAAATGGGTCCAAACGCCCGCCACATAACCTGAGCTTCCATGGTGGTCTCATCTCTTGGTTCACTACTGTACCCTCTGGTGTCATCAAAGGTGGCTGGATGAAAAATCCCCGGACTAAATGAAGGTTAAGTTATAGCTGGGAAAACCATCTATAAATGGTGGACTTCAAGTGCGTTTGATTACCTGAGGTTATCTCAATTAAACAAATATGGTGTTCAAATCATTAGCCAGAACGCTAACAACCCCTTCAAGATCGTTACCTCGCGATCCCTTTATCCACTAGCTGTAAGGGCCTGATCTGTTTAACCTATTCGAACCTCAAAATCCTTGGGGTCTCCACCACTGTGAGACTCCAGATGTTACCTCAGTCGGTCACATCATGTTATATCCTCCTTCTGGATACTTAAATTAATATGAAATTATATATATTTGTTTTGCCAATGAATTTTGTAATCAATTAATATCAATTATATATCTATATATATTTATTATATATATACATTCTAATAGCCATCATACTCCCCAGTTCTTCCAGTCCTGGCCGCTGGCCCACCACCACCAGCTCCCAGAACCGCGGCACGTCAGGATCTCGGGCGCCAACTCCGAGATGCCACCGCCGCAGAGGTTCATCTTGGCCGTCGCTTGGGCGATCTGAAGCACCAAATTGGCGTCCATCATGATGTTCACCTGAGATAGATCAGTTCATCATAGCATATCATAGCCAACTTAGCCAACTTTTATATAGCTTGAAGATAGATCTATGTTCATCATAGCCAACTGGCTTATAGCTTGAACATAGATCAAGCTATGTGACAATGTCAACAACATCTATGTCAACAATCTATGAAACCGATGATGTTCACCTCAGACCGGGAATTTCTGTGGGAGTTACCCTCTGGGGACAACTACTGTAAGAGTTTGGTAGAACTGAAAGTTATAGCTATGGAAAATGAAAAAATAGTATATCAATGTATATAAGTTATCATAGGTAACAAACAAGCTTGAAAATGGGACAACAATCTATGAAACTGATTGAAATTGAAACTGATGATGTTCACCTCAGATTGTTGACCATGATTTGGGTTGGGGGGATAGTTTGGGAGACTTACCCTTACTACGGGGATGATGGAGGGTTTGATCCTTAATTTTGATTAATTTTGGAGGTGTAACAACCTAGAAATTTCGGATGTTCACCTCAAATCAGGGCAGCAATCCTGCTGGAAACTTCGGAGGAGCTGCTGATTGACTTTGGAAAAACAAACATCGTTACGAGACCCTGTTTGAAACTCATGTCTCCAAAAAAAATCGTGGGAACTTCACCAGAAATTGGCCGACTTTGTTTGGATCCGGGATGTTCACCACTATATTCATCATGACATCCCCAACACCCGTGGATTTCACCCCCTTCATCCCAGCATCCGAGGTCATCGAGAGGTCCAGGATGGTCTTCACCGAGAACAGCGTTGGTTTCTGCTGCATCAGGGCCGTCAAATGTTCGGCCGCCTTGAAAGCCATGAACTTCGGCCGCTGAACTTCAAATGAACAAAGATTCACAGGGACATCCAGAATCTGATTCCCATATAGTTCACAAAATTTAGCTGTGAACGTGATACATAGATCTAATTTTGTGTGTGTTTAAAAAAAAAAACATGATGTTCATGTTTTACATGGATACAATGGATGATGATAAACTTAAGAAACATGTCAACCCCAAGTGGTTCTTCTGTGGAACCCCGCCCAATCATCAACCAGCCTTCGGGAAGGTGGCCAACTTCTCCTTGTGGATCACCGCATCTAGTCCTGGATCGATGACACCCTGAGGAGGGTGTGTGTCCTGGAAATTCTGGAACTATCTCAGACTACCCTCTGGTAAACATACAAAAAACTATGTAAAATAACCATTTTTCATGGGTAAATCGGTAAATCAACTAGAAATGGCCATGTTCAATAGCTATCTTGACATAACCAGAGGGTATCTCCAATTTCGGTGCTTCAAATCCCTCTTCGGCAACAGCAAACCCGCCTGCACTGTGATGTTGGATCCAATCCACTGGCCTGCAACGGTCCCAGATAGTCCCAGCTTGTCTAGTGCTTCCCAACATCAAATGGAGGCTGATCTTTTTGTATTTTTTTCACGCCAAACTTAGGTCATCCTATTACTCTCTAAACCTTAGATCAGTTCCCATTCCCAACAAACAGCTGCGCTGCGAAGAACTGCATGGTTTCCTCATATTGACCTCAAGGCGCCTCACCATCAAACCTAAACGGATCTCTGACTCTGGCAAGGCGTTCATTGGGAAGTCGTTACCTTCGGCTCAGCAGGCCAGCTGTTTGAGCTTGTCAAAGCTGGTGGTTTCAAAGACTTTCTAAACAAGAGTCGCTAGGAAGGAGATGCATTTGAGAAGTTGCATCTCTGGCACTATTGCGGCTGGTTGCGCACCAATATCCACCAAGAAATGAGAGAACTGGGAAAACATCAAAGTCTGCACATAAAGCAAGTTGCACATCCCTCCATCGCAGTACATGTGTCCTGCCACCAAGCTCAACGCAAACTCATCATGCCATGACAAACCAGTCACCACTGACTCGCCAATTTCGTCCCACCTCTGACCATACACATCCTGCATGCATAACGATTCTTCTTGAACATATCCATCAAAAACAGACAACCGAAAAATCTATGGATCAAAACTTATCATCCCCATCCCCATCCCCCATCTCCTCGGTAACTGAAGGGTTCCATCAGCCCAGGGACTCCCATGGACATCCGCACGGCCACGCGCAGGGGGAGTTCCGGATCCGTCTCGGGCGTGAAGCGCCGCTCCTTGCCGCTGTCCAGCTCGCAGGCGAGGATCACCAGGCGCTTGCCTCGGGCCGCTGGGGTGAAACCTGGTGGATCTGGTGGTTTTCTTGGGCGAAATTCTAAGGGAAACAACTACTAGATCAACTATTTATGCTGTATACTATAACTGTGTATATAATATACTTTGTTGGAAGAGAAGTGAGGTGATCTTCAGGAATTCTTCTTAGGATGTGATCAATAAAAAACGAGGAGATTCACCGGCCAAAATAGTGATTTTTTATCAACTAGAATCATGTGTAACCCATAGGAAAAGTGGATGCTTTTTAAGGAGCGGCCTGCGAGTTCTGTGGGAGTTTTTTTTGGATGCCGGGATGACATCCCTCAACTTCACGGAGTTCACCAGCTCAAATTTCAGCCGAGAGTCCAAAGCGATCTTTCACAGCTTTCAAAGTGATGTGTTCGTCTCCACCTTTAGAAATCGCATCGCTGAAATCGCCATTTTTTGAGCAAAAAAAGCAGTTTTGATGCTGAAAAAGGGAAGGTCATATCTAACTGGATCGTGTAGTGAATCAGGAATCAAAATCTTGACAAGAGTTTCCAGAGAAGGGACAGCTCTCCACGTTTTGCTGGTGACTTGACAGGAAGATGCACGAAGTTCGGATTTTTTGGCCGTGGAAAACAGGTCCACATCATGTCATCATTCTGCCCACATCCAGGTCACCAGAGCTGAAAGTGGGTCCTTTCCCTATGGTCATCCATGATCTCTCTCATTTCAATTCAATGATAAAAATCGGTGGTACTGCCACACAAAAGGAGGATGGTGAGTCCCCATTAGCTATTTCTGGTCGATTTTCCAGCAAGCCATGGATCGCTGATGACACAAAGGAGGCTAACCCACGAGCCGTTTTTCATCAGAGCAAGGGACATTTCTGCTTCAGGGCACTTCCGATCATCTCCTCCAAGATGTAACCACTGTTCAACCCAGGTCCAGTGCCATCTGCCAGGGGCTGCAGTTCGTTGATCCGGGCCCAGGAAACCACACATGTTGGTCATGTGCCATATATAACCATCATTAACCATCCATTTTGGATGTGCTTGGGGAACCAATTTTGAGTCCGTGTGCAACCCTAAACCTAGGATTTAAGTCTTTAGTTTCTATCCATGTTCAGTTTTCCTCAAAGATTTAGGATATTCCCAAACATAGATCCAGTCTGCTGATGTCTACTGGCCCCTTCAATAGTTTAGAATTGCTTAGAGAAGGGTCCCCACCTGCCACGCAATCAAGTACCGCAGCTGCGGATGAGCCGAGCAAGCTTTTCATCATACTCTGCCTTAGGCAGCTGGCACCCCATGTTACAAGTGGACTGGGCTCCCAAACTGAATAGATCCCATGTAGTCATGATGGTAACAATGACCTTGGTCCTCAAATCAACAAATGATGGGAACATGATGGGAACAAAGCGCCAATATGTCGAGTAAAATGGACCATATCGAAACCCAACATAGTGATTTTGAATGGGTACAGGATATGCAAATAGGCTTCTGGCAGCATTAAGGTTAACCCGAGATTCATAAACCTCTAGTTACTCTAGTTTATAAATCAGGTGGTACCAAATATATATATATATACATTAATATAATATAATAATAAGTAATAATATATCATATATAATTATATATAATATGTAATATATAATATATAATATATTATATATTATATATTATATATATAATATAAATATAAAATATATTATATATTATATATTATATATCATATATTATATATAATATATAATATATAATAATATAATATATAATATATAATCTATAATATATAATAAATAATATATAATATATAATATAATATATATATATAATATATATAATATATAATATAATATATATATAATATAATATAATACAAAATATTTAATATATAATACATAATATACAATATAAAAGATGTAATACATAATATATAATATATAATATATAATAATATATAATAATATATAATAATATATAAATAGTATATAATCATATACAATAATATAAATTAATATATAATAGTAAATAATAATATATAATGATAAATAATAATATATAATGATATATAATAAAATAGTAATATATAATGATATATAATGATATATAATAATATATAATGATATAATAATATATTATAATATATAATAATATATGCTAATATATAATAATATATAATGATATAATAATATATTATAATATATAATAATATATGCTAATATATAATAATATATAATAATATATAATAATATATAATAATATATCATAATATATAATAATATATAATAATATATACTAATATATAATAATATATTATAATATATAGTAATATATAATGATATATAATGATATATAATAATATATAATGATATAATAATATATTATAATATAAAATAATATATGCTAATATATAATAATATATAATAATATATAATAGTATATAATAATATAGAATAATATATAATCATATACAATTATATATAATAATATATAATAGCATATAATAATATATAATCATATACAATTATATATAATAATATATAATAGTATATAATAATATATAATAATATATAAATAGTATATAATCATATACAATAATATAAATTAAGATATAATAGTAAATAATAATATATAATAATATAATATATATAATAATATAATAATATAAAATAATATATAATAATAAATAATAATATATAATAGTATATAATAATATATAATAATATATAATAATAAATACTAATATATAATAATATATAATAATATATACTAATATATAATAATATATAATAATATATAATCATATATAATAATATATAATAATATATTATATATAATAATGTAATATATATATAACATATAACATATAACATATAACATATTACATATTACATTTAACATATAACATATTACATATAACATAATATAATTTAATTTAATTTAATTTTATATACAGTACATACATATACATATACATATATATATATATATTTGTATATTATGGCTCGAATTGCCGTGTTTTGGTATGTTTGGGGGACCTCCCTACATAATTCGTAAACTGGTTGCTTATCTACCCAGGGTTGGCATCATCCACGCCGGCTAGCACGCATGCTTCCCACCTTTGGATCCAAGCAACAGGATCGTCCCCAGAATCCGCACCTCAGCTTGGGCATCATATACTAAGCATAGAATGGGACAGAAACATGAATCCTTGGGATATCTTCAACCTCCACCAGAAATCCCCTTGGGGATGCTCCAGGTCGAGAGACCAGAGAGCCCAACTCGGGCAGGGCGAGCTTGTAAAATGGCATCTCTTCAATCCTCAGGATGAAGGGAAAATCATGGGAAAATCGGATGTTTTTTACATGTAAAAAACATCCGGTGAGACAATTCCACCGTGGCAGTGAACCCGCTGCCATTGGTTCAAATTGTCCAGTTTGCTTTGTGGGAAGACGCTCAGCCATTCGAGGTTGCGTGGGAGTGTGGCGAGTACTCCCACAGCAAAGCTTTCTCTGACCTTTTGGTACACGCATTGGCCAAAACTGGAATATCCGCTGCCTTTGCATTGTGCGCGCTCCGTGTTTGATCTTTGCTTTGAGGTTTGACCTGTTTGAATGGGGTATGCACGGTATGCCTATCTTGTTTATCATATATTTTCCCCACAGGAAATTCTAAGCAACAATCCAGCATGTAAGAATGGGCAGAGGTCACTTCAGCCATTTTCCCATCATCAGCGAAGGTAATGTTTGTCATACGGATGGGGTGCGCCCAAGCGTCAGTTTGAAGATATCCTGTGCTTCGCAACCGATGGCCAGCATGGCTGCCACGACAGAGCCCGCGGAAACACCTTGCGACCAGAACTGGTGGTCACTTGTTAGTTTTGATGAAATCAGCCAGTGACTAAGGATAATTAGGAAAAATCGCATCCTAATTTTAATTATGAAAATGTTGGGGAGAATCCTAATTTCGGTACTGGTTGTATGATAATGACTCCTGTTTCATAAGTTTATCCGCAATCCCATCAGGCTTGGTAGCTTAAACCCACATCACCCCATAGCACTTATCACATTGTCCAGTATGGGACCACCGATCACCTTGACTTCTGCTTCTGGAGGGTGGAATTGCAATATCTTGAGTCCAAAACTGCCATTCCCATGCTTCTCAAGGTATTAAGCAATAGGTCCTTGGGTGCCTCGACACTGGCGAAAACTACAAGGCTGCACCAGCCAAAGTCATGACTGCTGCACCACAAGTGAGTTGGTTGCTGGTTCCCAAGCATAGCTCAAGACCAAACCATCCCAAGCTGCCTGCAATGGTCTTTAACTTCCTGGCAGAAGTCGCATTCAAAAAGGTCGTGAAAGGAGGCTTCATCCATGTTCTGCCTGTCATGCTATACGACATGGTTACATAGTTCCCACAATTCCGAATAATTACGAAGCTTATCACTATCCCCTGTTAAATCACCCTTTATGCTGGTCAAGTCCCAATTTCTATCAGGCAAAAAGAAAAGCTCTTCGGCTGAGGCTCGGATATTGTAGGCCATGACGTTCCAGTGCACGCAGGCCACCCACATGGGTTGCAGCCAAAATGCCTGGCTTCGCACGAAGAGATCGTGTTTTTACTACCCCCAAAAGATAGCGAACCTTCAATTGATTAGTGATTAGTATTTCGGTGGGATTTTACAATACCCTCCCTCTCAAACATAGAAATGGAACATGTTTATAGATGATTCTCCCATCTAAACCTCCATTTATGGGGGGGAATTTCCCATGTTGGTCATCTGGAGGTGTCCTAAAATAAGGGGTACTCCGGAAATCATCCATTTTTGGGGGGTGATTTGTCCATGAAACTTCGGCTCTGTGAAACACTGGACGCCGAGTGACCGCACCCGTAGATCGCCAGAGCTGTAGCCTTTCCAACCTTAAAGCAGGGCCCTAAGGCGGACCAAATTGGATAAACTAGAACTAGAATACCCATATTTTGATGGTTTACACTCAGTTTGTACCACCTATTTATGGTGATTTAGGGGGTGGTTACTTTACCAAAATGACTAGACTTATCTCACAATTTAGAACCCTTCCATTTGTGAATTATGTTCACACTCAAAAAAGCTGATTTCCCTCCACGTCTGTTTTCATGAAATCCCCTATGTTTATTGGTTCACCCTCCAACTTTTGTTTGAACCCCTATATTTGTGGGTGTGTTGGCTATCACTTCTCTCTGCTATTCAGGGTGTGTCTGAACATGGAACATACACCCTTTTGTTGTCATTTAAATCATGTTCATAGGGGAAAATCATGATGAACCACTGGATTTCAGCCATTTTTGTAGGGAAAATCATCCTGAATCAGCGAAAATCATGATGAACCACTGGATTTATCAGGGGTACCCGGCTACCCAGCCGCGTCACATGTGCGTTGAACTTGGTTGCCTCATCCGGATCGACCGAGTCGATGATTTCCTCGGCGACCTGTGCGGAAGAACTTGGGGAGGTTCACCAAACTGAGGATTGAAGTGATTGAACTATAACTATTGATATTGGATATCATTCAATTGATATAATTGATATTAATGGGATAATTGATATTGGATATTACTCAATTAATCCATATTAATCCCATCGATCTGGGGATTATAAATATGTGGTTAATATATCATCCCATCCCCCTAATAATGAAAACACCCCCATTGTATGGTCCCAATTATGTGGAAATTCCCTACTAAACCATGGTTTCTAAGGGGGTGTTTAATATTGGGCTCACTTGCTAGGGATATTGGATATTACTTGCTGGGGATATTGGATATTAATTGCTGGCTTCTTTTCAGGGTACGCAAGAGTGGGGATTTACTCAAATAGTAGTGTTTTTCCTTCCTTGTAAGCTAACCTGGCAATAGAAAACGCCCCATTTATAGCATGTATGAATTGTAGTCCTGCTGAAAATGCCAACTTTCCAGCTTGATTACCGGAGGGTAGTCTTTGAAGGTCAAACCCATTGGTGAAGCGAAAGTCGCCATTTGTGGTGATAAACCATTCAGTTGTCCATTTGCCAAATCATTCTCACATACTCGGGCAACAGTTATACCATCTACCCTCTGGTAAACTAGCGTAGCTATAGAAAATCACCATTATGAATGGATAAATCCACTATAAATGGCCATTTTCAGTAGCTACCTTAAATTACCAGAGGGTACTCAGAATGCTCGTGAAACATGGGGAGTCACCTTGAGTCCAAATCATCCCAGAGGCGCCCACAGGCGCGCCTGCCGACGTCGCTCAAATGCACCAGGGCAGCTGGGATCAAAATAGGATTCGGCGCTGGTCTCCCAGGCCTGGAGCTCTTTGTCTCGGTGCTAATCGATGTGTAGTCTATACAGATATAGATGGATGGATAGACATGGATACATAAATGTATATAGAGATATACAAATAAATGTGTGTCTTTGTGTATATGTATATTGTATGTATATATATATACAATATACATATATAAATCTATATATATGTGCATATTAGGTGTATGTCTGAAATAATTACCAAAGGGTAATTTAAGAAATGAGATAAAGGTGAAGCTCATTGACTTTTAGCCCTGTCACTTCTGGGCGTGGCCTTGTTGCAAAAAAAAGGTACCGAAAGTCCAATGGTTGATTCAATTAAATCCTCCGTCTTGCCCGAAATAGCCCGAAATCCAGGTGTTAATCTCATCGAAGGAAGTTTAGAAGTCAAACTTCCGACAATATGGACAGATGAAAAGCAGAGCAGGGCAGAGGCAGAGAGAAGAGAAAGATTAGAAGAGAGAAGATCAGAGAAGAGAAAGAGAAAGAAGATGCAGATGCGCGAAAAGGTAGGAAAAGTCGCGAAACACTGTGTTTTTCCAATGATTTGTGGCTCCGGAGGGTCGAAAAGTAGGCTCGCTAAAGCGGCGGGTGCGGAGCCAGCTGGCCAGATGAGAGATGAAAAGTTGCACGCCGTTGTGGCGCGAAGCAAATTTCGAAGTCAAAATGTACAAAACACACCAGGTTCGGACCACTTTTGGAAGTTGCGATGTCGAAAAAGTGCACGCCGTTGTGGCGCGAAGCACATTTCCAAGTCAAAATGTACAAACCACACCAGCTTCGGACACTTTTGGAAGTTGAGATGTCCAAAAAGTGCACGCCGTTGTGGCGCGAAGCACATTTCCAAGTCAAAATGTACAAAACACACCAGGTTCGGACCACTTTTG